TCATGTAATGCTGAAACTTTTGGAGTCATTAAACTCCACAGTTGTCTGGTTCCTATCACCACCATTAATTATAATTTTCATATATATATATATATATAGTTAAATGTATATATAGATAAAGTTATAATGTTTAGGCTCATGAGCAAGTACACCTTTTAGCCACATTACCTAGCTATACCTATACGCAGTGGCAGGCAGCTAACATCAGCAAGATTACAGTTAGTAGAGGCACCAGAGGTAAAATAGCGAGGAATTCCGAAGATTAAGTTTAGCACAGGTTATACCTTACTTTAAAGTATTTTAACTACCTACACTAGCTGGCTGCCTTAACTTAGCTGAATATTTTCAAATCATCACAATTTCATCACTAAGTAATATGAACAGTCCTGGCTTGCCCTTCACTAACCTTAAATAGTAAAACTGGAGACTCTTCTTCTGCAAGCTCAGCCTCCTTTATCCTCTGCTTTCAGAAAACAGAATGTATGTCCATGTCTAACGTAATCATTGTCTCTCTTCACTGCCTTTGTGTTTAGTGTGGAGGGGTTCTTAGGGGGGGCCTGACAGATACTCAAGTGGACAAAAATTATTTGGGCATCAAAAGATTCAGGGCTTAAGTCCTGAAGGCCCTCTCTTGACAATGCCCATGACTTGTACAGTCTGAGTGTAAAAAGGACAGTGACTTTTGCCCCCACAGCCTATCTACACTACTACTAATAACTACTATAACTATTATTAAATTAATACATTTCCAATTTATAAACTAAAAATATCTTAGTTCATTTCCAGTCTGCTGTCAGAATGGCCATTATAGGGACTGCAGAAAGAGGCTACAGGGATAATTTGGCAAAAAATCAAATCAAAAAGTTTGCTGATAATCAATGCATCATTTCTGAGAGTGCAGTGCAGTCATGCAAAGTTTCAAAAACTTGCATATAAAAAAAATGAAATGAATTCAAATGAAAAATATATTGCTTTTCTTCTTGGCAGATTTAGGAGTGACCGTTTGTGCAGTTGACCCTGGGCTGGTGAACACTCCGCTGATCCGGCACATGAAGAAGTCCCTCCAGTTCTTTGTGAAGACGTTTGGCTTTCTGATCCGAACTCCCACAGAAGGAGCATATACCAGCCTTTACTGTGCCCTGACCCCAGACCTGCTCACTGGGGGCTACTACAGGTGAGCAAGACTGAATCTACAAATTAAAATCATCTTACTTTGTACTTCTACTAGCTGGCCACTTTATTAGAAACACCTCACATGTTCACTATATAAGTGTAGAATTACAGACTGTAACCCATCTGTGCAATTTATCATCTTCCTGCTGCCCCTTAAAACAATGGTCAGTTTCTGACCACAGGACCGCTGTTGTGCATGCAAACATTACACACTTACAAGTAAAACTATTAAACCAATAATTTGCAGTGAGTTTTCTTTTTTCTTTAATAAAAATGAGGAAGTATATTGACTGAAGTATGAAGGATTTACAAAACTAGAGGCAAACTCAATTTTCCTCTTCATAGGAGAGCAAGTAAGCCACGTATCACATTTCAAGTCTTTGTGAAGAGATGTGAATTATTTCATAGAAGGGGGTTCTCACCGTCACACTCTTTGCTCACTAGTAGCTCAGCACAGAGTCACAACATCATGCACAAAGAGAAATTAGTGTTGTAGTTAATCTGATAACAGAGTTATGGGTAAAAAATGTATTCCATATTAATAAAAATATCTGAGTCGATTTCCAGCCTGCTGTTAGAATGGCCACTAGGGGGCCTGCAGAAAAAGGCCATGGGGATAATTTGGCAAAAAATCAAATGTACAGTTCCCACAGTTTGGCAATGGAATTATGAGACTAACATCGCTAAAAAGTAATGGAACCAAATACTCACCAACTTTGGTGCTAACTGCATGTTTACAAGTTGTTACAAAGTGGCCACTGAGTGAAAGGATATGGTGTGTGTTTCTAATAAAATGGTCAGTGAGTGGCAGTACACAGTAGGTGTTTCTAATAAAGTGGCCAGTTAGTCGAAGTATACTGTGGATGTTTCTAATAAAGTGGCCAGTGAGGGGAAGTATATCATGGGTGTTTCTAATAAAGTGGCTGGTTAGTGAAAACAAATTTTAGGGGGTTCTGTTAAAGTGGCCAACAAGTGGAAGTTCAAGGTAGGTGTTTCTGATAAAGTGGCCAGTGGGTGGAAGCACACGGTGAAGGTTTCTAATAAACTGGCCAGTTAGTGGAAGAACAAAGTAGGAGGTTCTAATAAAGTGGACAGTAAGTGGAAGTATATGGTAGGTGTTCCCAGAAGGTTTTCATCATTAGCTAATGACTTGTCCAGGAATGACGTCGTAAGGTAATTTAAAATAGACTTGCTTGTGGTTTCTGACACTGTATGACATATTATTGTCTAAAAACATGTACAAAATATGTTGCATAGCTTATAACGGTTGTAGCAGCCATCTTGAAGCCTGAATTGTTGCTTTAAGTTTCAACTTACAGTGAGTTTGGTCTTTTATCTGTCTTTCTGTATAACTGTGTATGTTTTTGTTCTCATCTAAATTAGCATTCTGGTGTAATAAGCCTGCTTTTTCCCTCTGTGCCACAGTAACTGTGCGCTGGCACCATGCTCCAGGGCTGCCAATGATGATGCCGCTGCTGCCAGGCTGTGGGCTGCCAGCTGCCATCTGCTGGGCATCCGTTGGAGATGAATGATGTTGTCCATGCTTGGAGATATTGCATGTTAAACAGTCTCTGTACAAGCTCATTTGAATCTTCTATTCATTTCAAATATGAACTTGTAATCCACTTAACTGTGAACGTTTCAAAAATGCATTATTCTTATAGCCTACTCTACTACACAGTGTCATAGGAAATGTAGGAAGTTAAGGTGATGTGAAATGGAATGGAATGTGTTAGAAGTGTTATATTCATGTTGTTTTATTTCACTGACTGTAAATGAACAGCCATGGCACTGTTTGCATGTTTGGGGTTTATTGGCACCACAAGCTGAAATGGATAAATAAATAAACAAATATGCTCAAATGTGAATGCAGTCCACAGAGATATTTTTCTTAGATTTTGGGCCAACCTTGGGCCAAAGTGACCAATTCATTTCTCCATCTGGTGTTGCTACTGAGGTTTTCTACATGTTCAAGCTTGTGTTTTTGCTATTATAGGCACTGTATTTTATTATAGGGGCTTCTACAATCCCATATCCAAAAAAGTTGGTACACTGTGCGGAATGTAAATAAAAATAGGATGCAATGATGTGCAAATCATATATACCATATTTTTAAAAGGAAAATACTACAAAGACAACGTATCAAATGTTGAAACTGAGAAATTGTATAGTTTTCTGAAAAATATATGCTCATTTTGAATTTGATGGCAACAACACATTCTAAAAAAGTTGTTGATTTGTCGGACCACAGGACACTTTTTCACTTGCCCTCAGCCCATTTTAAATGAGCTTGGGCCCAGAGAAGGTGGCAGCGTTTCTGGATCCTGTTTATATACAGTTTCTTCTTTGTGTTTTAGAGTTTTAACTTGCACAGATAGTAGTTTTCAGAAGTTTTTCTGAACCCATGCAGTGACTTCCACTAGAGAATCATATCTGTTTTTGATGCAGTACTACCCGAGGGCACAAAGATCATGGCCAGCAAATACTGTTTTTTTAGGCTTTGTCCCTTGCATACAGAGATTTCTCCAGATTCTCTGAATCTTTTAATGATATTACGTACCATAGATGATGAAAAGCAAAAGTTCTTTGCTATTTTACACTGAGAACCGTTATTCTTGAATTGTCACACTGTTTGTGTAGTCTTTGGTGGTGAAACTCCTCATCTTTACTTCTGAACTCAGCCTCTCTGGGATGCTTTTTTATACCCAATCATGTTACTGACCTGTTGCCAATTAACCACCAGCTGTTTTTTTAGCATTATACAACTTTACTTTGTTGCCTCTGTCCCAACTTTTCTGGAATATGTTGTTGGCATCAAATTCAAAATGGGCATATATTTTTCAATACACAATAAAATTTCTCAGTTTCAACATTTGATATGTTGTCTTTCGCATTTTTGTCATCTTCGTATTTTGTTTTTATTTACATTTTGCACAGCGTCCCATTTGTTTTGGAAATTGTGTTGTAATAAAATGGCCAGTAAGGGGAATTACAAGGCAGTGGTTTCCAGTAAAGTGGCCAGTGAGTGGAAGAACAAAGTAAGGGTTTGTAATAAAGTGGCCAGTGAGTGGAAGTACATGGTGGGTGTTTCAAATAAAGTTATTTAGTGGAAACATAATTTAGATGTTTCTGTTAAAGTGGCCAGCATGTGGAAGTTCAAGCTAGGTGTTTCTGATAAAGTGGCCAATGAGTGGAGGTACAAGGTAGGATGTTCTAATAAGGTGGATAGTAAGTGGAAGTATATGGTAGGTATTATCAAAAGGTTTTCATCATTTGCTAATGGCTTGTGCAGGAATGACTCCAGTGTTGTGGCGACAAGAAACACTGGTTTGTGAATTTCCTGGGTTTATTTCCCAGAAAATGGCGCACACTGTAGGTCTCTACCATGAGTTATCTGTTCAAACCAAACAAGCATTATTTCAGTACACAGTCCTCTGTGGCTGAACTGAATAGAAGTGTGTGAAAATATTTGCTTCTTTCATCCATTCAGGAATGTTCGTGTACTCATGGTGACCTCTAGTGTCTAAAAGTCATATATATTCTTCAGTTTTTTTTCTTTTGTTGCTGAACTTCCTTCAGCAAGAACAAAGCAGGTGTTTGTACATCTGTTCAAAACTATAGCTCTTTATTGCAAAATCAACACAACTGTAACTTCCTCCACTGGACTTTTCATGTGTGTAGTCATCAAATAGTAACTGTGTCTGTGTGTAGCCTCATGCGTGTCCTATTGACCGCATTTCTTTGGCTGAGTGTGACTCAGTTATAGTGAATGACACAGTTGGAAGGGGCCGTCCTAAACTGTCCTCTCAGCAGCCTTGGTCTCATTCATTAAACTGTTGAGTGAAGAGCTGACTCCAAACTTTCTGGAAGGAAATTTGAGGAATCATGAGCTCTGTGAGGTAAGCTGGCCTTCTCAGTCCATACACTAAACTAACAACACCTTGAAAACTATTAGTTTTTCATCAGACATTTTGATAACTTTAATAAGCAAATTATTCAAATGATCACGATTAAAGCAATTATGTAGTTACAACATGTATCAGAGAGACTGACATGATACAGTATGGTTGGTATTATTCAATACACATGACAGAAAAGATACATTAACTCTTAGAAACTGCAAAAATGTATACCTTGTGCTTAAGTGTAGGTAGTTTCTGTTCCTAATGAAACTGGTCTAGAACTCCAGTCTGAGGGTAAAAATATGTATTTTAAAACATGTCATTTCAATTGTAATGATAAATCAATGATAAATCCAAAGAGACTGTATGTGTTATGTGTTGTGTAATTTTCTCTTTCATTTTTACTCCAGAGGCTTCTTCCGTGGAGCCTGGTCATCTCCAGTGAGGCTGGATGGGAAAACAGTGATAATCACTGGTGCTAATACAGGAATAGGCAAAGAAACAGCACGGGACCTGGCCAAAAGAGGTACAGGACTTCAGTATTGTTATTATTATTATTATTATCATTATTATTTGCAGTAGTGGTAGTAATGGTATAATCATGGTAATCATAATAGCACAGACAGTACTAGTAACAGCAATAGTAATAACAATAGAAATTGTAAAAAAAAGTAGTACTAATTGTATTAATAATAAGTTTATTAATTAGTAATTAGTATGTTTATTAATTAGTAATGAAAATATTATTAATCATAATTGTACAGTTAGTAGTAGTCAGTATAGATCTATGCTTATCAATCACAGAAAGAAATTTTAACAACATTAAAACAACAGCAAGTCATAGCAGTAGTGCTAACAGTAATAGTTTGTCATATTAGTAATATTGGTAATAGCCAAGGTTGGTCAAAATGCTTTGAAAAAGTAAACAGTGAATACACATATTCAGAATACATTTAAATACATTTAGAATACATGTTGATAAGACACATGGGAAAAACTCTGCTGTAACTTTTACTTAATTCACGCTGTTCCTCACTGTCACTGGATGGCAGTTTTCTTCATGTAATTCTTCTGTTAATATGTTTCATGCAAAGTTTGCTTATCATTTAAATTGAGTTCTGAAATTCTTAATTTTTTTCTGTTCTCTTTCCTTGCCTGCTTCAGTCCACTGCTACTCCCACACTCCTCCAAGCAGGAGTCTAGTACAACATCAGTGCTAAACTTAGCATTCGCAAATGTCCACTGAGGAATTATTCATTTGATCATCTCTCAAAAGAACTGAGTAATGCAGAGATAAATAACCAACTCCTTACACTCAAGCTTTAGCAGTAACTTCAGTGTTTGTAAAGAAGCTGTTAATCATTTCCTCTTTAGAGTTCACCTAAAGAGCATGTTTGCTGCATGCTGTCTGCTGATTTTAAAATAGTTATTAAATAAGCACTGATGGTGTTTCTTTTAAAGACTTATTTGTATTTTGTGATTGAGTATTCGTAAAGCACTCTCCTAAAAATATAAACAGTAACTGAACTCTGAATACTGTCTTTACAAAATGTAACTTGGACTGAATACAGATACTTCATTTCTGTATTCTGAATACGTATTCTCAATACTTGCACTCTGTTACATCCCATCCATGGCAATAGCAGAAGTATTAGTAAAAATAGTAATTGTTGTAGCAGTAATATAAGCAATAATAGAAGTATTAGCATAGTAATAGTAATAGCATTAGTAGCACTATAGTAATAGTTTAGCAGTAATATTAGCATTAGATGAAGTATTGGTAGCAATAGGCATAGCTTTAGCAGTAATATTAGCAATGGATGAAGTATTAGTACTAATAGTAATAGCTTTAGCAGTAATATTAGTAGATGAAGTATTAATAGTAATAGGAATTGTTCGGTAGAAGTGTTAAATGTTCCTGCTTCTGGACAGAAAGTGTTTTTTCTCATCATTCAGAGATCCTGTGGTAAATGTAGTGAATGCTGTGTGGATGAATATAAATAACACTGTATAGTATCATTAGATGTCCTGCAACGGTGCCGCTGTATACTTTAGTTTGTTTGCACATGGAACTCAGCACCTGTCAGCAAGAGTAACAAAGCAGAATATCATTTATTCAGAGGGGATTTGCTGAAACATTTGCATTTTCTTCTTTGGTGTATTGATGTTTTGTCATCACAATAAATAAATTACCCTGTCAAAACTAAGTTTTCACTCAGGGCCTGGTCTAAGCTTTGTGTGGAAACTGTCCCTGGACTTTTCCGACACTTATTCAGTGTATTTTGTTGTCGTTCAGTTGTTGAACTTTAAAGTGAGGTGCAGTTTTGGACGTCCAACAGTCCAACAGAGAGTTAGATCTACCCAGAACATGTAGATTGTTCTTTTTTGTTTTGTTGTTGCTTTACTGTAGATTACAGCCTTTCTTTCAACTTTTTTTCTTTGTTTCTTCTTTCTCTTTTTCTCTTTCTTCCTTTTTTCTTCTGTTGCCTCATCTATCTTGCATCTCATGAGGGCACAGCATTCATTTGTCATGCATGCACTTTACTGCCACATGCAAATCTGTATGGGCTGCCTATATTGGTATGAGAACCGCATGCAATAGATAAGATTCTCACATTTTCTCTGGGTTGTCTTTCTCAGGAGCTCGTGTTATCTTGGCCTGTAGAGATTTGGAGAAAGCAGAAGCAGCTCGAAAGGAACTGGTGGAGGATTCTGGAAATCCAGATATTGTAGTGAAGAAGTTGGATTTGTCAGACACCAAATCAGTCAAAGAGTTTGCAGAGGTTATAAACACAGGTATTTAATTTCTCTATAATATCTAAAGCACTTTGAGACTTAGTTATTGAAATACTGTTATTAAAGGTCATTATTATCAGTAGTAGTAGTTGTTGAAGTAGTAGTAATAGCAGTATATTAAACACTATATATTATTTGATGATTAGATTTATATATGTTTAGGTTGGGAAGCTCATCTGGTTCAAAAACATAGAATTGTATTGAATTAATTGTGTTTTGCCCTATTGTATACACAGCGGGGTCCAAAAGTCTGAGACCACAGTGAAAATTTGGATTTTTTTTTTATTATTTAAACTTGGAAAGGAACAACAGAAAGTTTTAGATTCTTTTTAAAAAGGAAAATGAACAAATCTTCATTTTCCCAGCTTACTATTCAAATTTAGGCACATTTCAAAGATTCTACACTTTACTCAATTTGTTATGCTGATAATATCATTTGTAATGAAAAACGTCATATCAAATTTGAAAAGAATGCAAAATAGAAGCATTTTCACTAAAAAGTTGGGATTTTGTCCTGTGTAAATCAACTTCTGCAAAAAATCACTTTTAAAATGGGCCCAGGACTATGATGTTTAAAGGCACACAGTTAACCACTATATATACTCAGACTTTGTGCATCCACACTGAGCTCCTTCATGCACAGAAAAACCATAGGCGCTAATGGTTATATTCTCCCTTGGCATTTCAGAAGAGAAACAACTTAACATCCTCATCAACAATGCCGGCATCATGATGTGCCCGTACTCGAAGACGGCAGATGGCTTTGAGACGCAGTTTGGGGTCAATCACTTGGGTAAGAACCTTCTGTGTCCACTTTTGTCCACTTTCTTCATCTCAGACCAGGAAGACTGATTAGCTGTAGGATGTCCAGACCATCAACAAAATCACATTTACTGCATCCATCTAATCAATTAGTTCTTCATCCATGCCTGTGCTTAATTAACTTATGCAAACCAAGCAGCCATTGTTAGTCTGAATGAACCCAAAATAAGAGCACATTCTTTGTGCTTTCTCAGGTAATTTCGTTAGCTGGCCATGCTAACAGGAAACAACTTACTTACTACCAGTCCTTTCCCCCTCAAAACAGTCACATGTTCACATCCTTTTTCCGATATACATCCTCTTCCATGCATTTACTCTGTTTAGTAAACAAATCAAAAGCAGGATATGTAAGACAAAGCAAACCCCAACATGCTCAGGCACAAGCATCTCTTTATTTATATAGACTGCTACCTTGCTTTTCAGGTCACTTCCTACTCACCTACTTGTTGCTGGACTTAATAAAGAGGTCTGCCCCGGCCAGGATTGTAAACGTGGCCTCGGTGGCCCACACGTGGGGCAGCATCTGTCTGGACGATATCAACAGTGAGAAGATTTACTCTCCCAGGAGGGCGTATGGACAGAGCAAACTGGCCAACATCCTCTCCACACGCTCCCTGGCCAAAAGACTGCAGGGTATGTGTTCCTTATAGGAGTTATTTAACCTTGGGTTAGTCACACTGGGACCTGGGAAGTCCTGGCCAGAACTGCCCATATTTTGGAAAACTGCATTTTCCTTGCTTTTTTCCCAAATGAAAGACTATTTGGTGTTGCATGTTAACATTGTTTAACTCCCCAGTCAATACAGTCCATATATGGAAACAAGCTGCAAAACAGCCATCAGATTTTTTACGATGTCACAAAAACCAGCAAATTTACATATATCCACCTATTCAGCTTATAGCAGTTTAGCCCCATCTGTTAAAGCTGAGGTTATAAGTGTTTCAGCCTGAACTGCGGTTTGAATGAGGCAAATTATAGGGCAGTCAATCAGGACACAGCTCGTTTACATATACAGTCATATGTAAAAGTTTGGGCACCCCTTGACAATTTACATTAATTTCATTACTGCTTATTGGTTGAATTTAGCACACTGGGAAAAAAAACAATAAAACATAAAATGAGGCCTGTACAAAAGTTATCGCACAATTTTTATTTTGTGTTTTATTTTTTTCCAATACATAGAAATTGTGCACTAAACTTGGCAGGAAAATGTCATATTTAAGTTTGTTCCCTGTAAAATCATGTAATGACTGTATCAGTCATGAAGGCACAGTAACAAAAAGAGCCTGTTTAATTCTGGGGTCAGTTTTTAGCACGTGAACTCACTTATAAGTTAGGGTTAGGGTAAAAAGGATTCAAATTTAAGAAAGATATAGGATATGGACTCTTAAAAACACCAAAACACTAATACATAGAATATTAAATGGAAATGATGAATATTTTAACATCAAGTCAGTTCAGTCATTACTGTTTTCAGCCTATACATTAGTGGAAGCATGTGGTGACTGATTGGTTTTCTGATGTGATTGTCATACAATCCATGTCACAGCACACCACCTCAACAGTGCTTAATTGCTCTGAATTTAATAACACTAGACCTCATGCCAGGCATGCATGAGGTAGGCAGGCTTATTACAGCCCTAAATCTAATGGCCAGATAAAAGCTGTTCAGCTAAATATGAGGGCTACACATTATGTGATTTGCCTTAAACACTATTTGCCTTAAAATATATTGAATCCACATTAGTGAGTCACTGTAACTTTTAAAGGCCTTTATTAGATTGCGTGAATACTTCCAGAGAAACACTGTCATGGAGTTGTGATTGGAAAGGCTGCGCACAGAACAGACGTAAAACAATGTGTCTGATGAGAGGGATTTGCATATTGCCACTTTCTGAGATATCAGAACTGCAAAAGCCAACACCTAAATAATGTTTAACAAGTAATTAATTGCCCAACTTTTCCAGCAGGAAACGAAAAATAAAAGCAATCACATTTTCTACAGGAAATTTTTCTTGTTGTTGTCTTGATATTTAGTCACTGGAGTTTCCTATAGAGGTCTGCAAACCACTACTTGAAGAAAAACCTTTAATAGTTTGGCCAATCGAGTTCAATAACAGTATGGAAAAAAGGCTACCATGAAACAGATCATTCGATTGGCTTAATCAATGATAAAGCCAGTTTGATGTTCTTCTTTGTCTTCTTCTCATTACTATTCTGTGCTTTTTTGGTACCATTTTCACAGGTCACAGTGTTCGAGCTAGAACTACGAAACTTACGCATGATCATAGGGCCTATACGGGAATAGTGTGCTTATGTTTTTGGGGGACTAAATCACCCATATGGTTTTTGTACTTTGTTAGTTCAAACACGTTAGTAATGGCCTAGCAGCACAGCAACTCCTTAGTAACCACCCAGGGTGCCATAGCAATGGCCTAGCAACACCTTAGGAACCATCTGGGATATCATAGCAACAGACAGGCAACAACTTAGTAATCTTCTGGGATACCATAGCAATGGCCTAGCAACAACTTAGGAACCACATAGGATAACAAAGCAACAGCTTATCAACACCTTAGCAATCACCTGTATAACATAGCAACGGCAAAGCAACACTATAGTCACCACTATAGTGGGGTGGCAACGGCTTTGTCAAACTAACTATGTTCACGAAATTTCCCCCTCTAGTTTATATTATTGTTAACCCCACTTATCAGAAAAAGTTGGGACAGTATGTTAAATTCGATTTAAAACTGAAATCAGTGATTTGTAAATTAATTTTGACTTGTATTACATTGAAAACAATACAACAGAACATTATTCTATGTTTTACCTCATGGTTTTTATTGTTTTTTTTTAAATAAACACTTACCAGAAATGCAGGCATGCCAGTCCAGCATCTGCACCCTCTTCTTCCACAGCCACGCCTCTGTAATGTGTGATTTTGAATTGTCTTGTTGAATGTCCTTGGAAAAGATGTCGTCCTGAAGGCAGCATATGTTGTTCCATAATCTCTATGAACTTTTCAGCATTGCATCACATAAGTGTAAGTTACTTTGCCAAGGGCACTGACTCAACCCCATACCATGACAGACTGTGGCTTTTGGACTTGTTGCTGGTACCAGTCTGGATTGTACTTTTCGTCTTTAGTGTGGAGCACACAGTGTCCGTTTCTTCCAAAAAAAAACCCTGAAATACTGATTCATCTGACCACAATACACATTTCCACTGTGTGATGGACCATCGCAGATGCCTCCGAGCCCAAAGAAGTTGGCAGCACTTCTGGATACAATTAACATAAGGATTCCTTTTGACACAATAAAGTTTTAAATGGCATTTGTGAATGTAACTACATATTGTAGTGCTTGACAAAGGTTGGCCAAAGTAATCCTGAGCCCATGTGGTTACATCGCTTATAGATGAATGATGGCTCTTGATGCAGTGCTGTCTGAGGGATCAGAGAGCAGTTATTCAGCATAGGCCTGCACCCTTGCCCTTTACACACTGAAATTCCTCCAGGTTCCTTGCATCTTTTGTTATACACTGCAGAGGGTGAAATATCCAAGTCCATTCCTATCACTCTTTAAAGAACATTATTTTTAAATATTTCAATAATTTTCTCACACATTTGTTGACAAAATTTTAATCCTTGGCCCATCTTTGCTTCTAAAGGACTAGGCCTTTCCTGGATGCTGGATGATTATAATCACCTGTTGGCATCACTGGTTTCAAAACGCATCATTATTTAACTCTTTTACCTCCAGACTTAAATTGCCAATTTCCCAACTTTTTTTTTGGAACATATTGCAGGCCTGAATGGCAGGAATGGGTGTAGACAAATGAAATAAAGTTGACCAGACAAAGCATGAAATATCTTGTGTTCATACGGTGTGCAGTGAAATACAAGCCAAAGTAAAGTTTACAAATCACTGCTTTTTTTTTACATACCTTTTCAACTTTTTCTAATTTGGGGTTGTAATTTATGGAAGTCTGGGGAAGCCATGAGCTGTTGCTATTATTTTCTGGATTGTTATCTTGAGATAACAAGATAAGTAACTCATTATTTCAAGATAACAATTTTGTTATCTTGAGATAACAAGATAATTAACTCATTATCTCATGATAATAACAATCCAGAAAATTGTAACTACCTCATGGCCTCTGTGGACCTCCATAGTAATTCCAAACTTTTAAACAGTATATTTTAGGGGCAACAGTTATTACTGACTTTTGATTGGAAGCACATCATGGTCATCCATAAGAGCTCATTAGTACTGCGCTGGGTTTAAAGTTAAACAGTATGAAGATGATCAGTATCACTCTGTGTCTGAATGTTCTGGGTTTTTGTGTGGCTGACTGTGTGTGTGGCGTTTTGTAGGCACTGGTGTAACAGTGTACTCACTACACCCTGGTGTGGTGCAGTCAGAGCTGTGGAGAAACCTCAGTAAGCCCATACAGATCGCAGTGAAGATCTTCAGCCCCTTCACCAAAACTACTGTGCAGGGGCTCAAACGTCCATCTACTGCGCTGTGGAGCCACAGCTGGAGGGAGAGAGTGGGGGATACTACAGGTACAGAGCACAGTACTGTAACAGAGCCATACGCATGACTCGGTCACTACTGAAAATGAAAGAGGAACCAACTATGTTACAATATAATATAATAATAATAAAGGCGTATTTTTCCTCCGAGGCTTCAAGCCATCATTCTGAATGCTCAATGTTAGTAACTTATTTGACGAGTGCTATTTGTATTTCAGTCCTCTATTTGGCTAAATACTGTCGTGGCATGTTTATTTATTTTCAGTCTGATTTTGTTTATGTTGAATATGGAAAAGCTGAATTATGTGAATCTTAATGACCAGTATTATACATATAATTGTTATACATACTCTTAAATAAACGTTCCTAAGCCAGAATAACTTTGTTTACAAAGCAATAGCAAACCAGTTAGCGAGGTAGCTGATGTTCTGTAAAATTAGAGGCTAACTAGAACAAAATAAATAAAAATAAAACAAACAGAAAACATCAACTGGCAATTTTATGTATTGCTGATTGATTTGGATTCTAACAAGGTTCTAACAGCATTTCAGCATTCTCCATCCAGATTGACTACTTCTTGTTTTCTGACCAAAAGCCAAAAAACGGTGTAACGTCAACACCTCAAAATGAAACCAAAAACATACCTTTAACTTTTTCTCCTCATCTTCTCATTTTTGGGGAAATTACTAACCAGTCGCTTTTTCACCCTCACTCCAGTGTCTTATTAGACAAATAATAATGATAACTTGCAGTAATTACTTATAAGCTGTTAGGGGACCCATGGTGGCCAAGGTGCCCTAAGCAGCCGCTTATGTCATTCCTTAGGTAGAGCAGGCTCTGATTTACAGCTGTATGTAATATTTGACTCTGTGGATGTGCTTTGCTTGCAGTGGCTGTGCACCAGCGAGATGTTCCAGAGAAGCCTCTGATGATGAAACAGCTCAGAAGCTGTGGGAGCTCAGCTGTCAGATGCTTGGCATTAACTGGGACTGATAGGTTGAATTTAAGAAAACGTTTAGTACACAATGTTTGAAGCGTACAGTGGGCAATTTGAGTGCATGTAAGAGAAATAAATTGTTTTTTTTTTGTTGCTTTGTTGTAACTTAAATCTTATGTTCCCCTTCCCCTTATATAAAAAAACTGCATGCAATTTGTTTGTTTACTCACTATTGCTATGGCCCAACCAAGCTGATGCTGTAATACAGGCTAATGCTTGAAGTATATCATGAAGATATTGTGTCAGTTCTGCACAAATAGTGATTTAAGGGAGACAATAAAGATATAATGGGGGAACAGTTGATACAAGCCTAAGGGCGTTTGCTCAGTACACACTGCTGGTAGATGCAGTACTGCATGTAAGTAATGCTGGTTTTTGGCATTTTGCTGTCTATTTAATGCATTTAATGAACAAATATATTCATTTTGCAAATAAAGTAAATATATAGTTGGGTCATTCTACAGAAACATTCACTTTTTATATATCCATAGGAGTCACTTTTTCATCAAAAATGCATTGCACAAAATGGCAGCTATAGAGCATCAAACCACATGTTGTCAATCATATATCTAAAATATGTAAGTTAATCCATTTGTATTCTATTTTTTCACAGTCGCCTAAAAATAAAGTAGGTCACATCAGTGACTTCAACCAAAAGCTCCATATGAAATCATGAGCTAAATGATAAAAGTTTCTGATAACTGTAAGAGACAGCTGTTCTTCATAGGTCTGAAAAAAATAGGTAAAAGGAACTCAAGTGATTTCATCAGTGTGATTTTTATTTCAAAATAAGAGATTCTTTGTTACACAGTAACACCAGTGACACAACTCCTGGGGACCACAACATTCACTTATGCACATTTTAATGCACACTTACTGTTTTATTTGCTCGATGTACCATACTGGAAAAAATAAAAATATGGAATGTGTCCTGTGCAAAAGTTAGGGCAGTTATATACACGAGATTTTCAAAACAAATGTCACATTAAAGTTGTCTGTAGAGGATAAAGGTAAGGTAAAGGTAAATGTCTTGGAGGAAAAATGTTGGACATTGACGTGTCTCAAGGTGAAGGCTGTAGCCGAGGTAAGAGAGGTCTTGCTAACACTGTTATATGAAGACTCCTCTTCACTATGGTTTTATTCAGTTTTATTATTTTTATGTTCACACATACGCCTGTACACGTTACGTGTAAAGGTGAAATTTCGCGTTTTGACGAACACGTTTTAACCCATAACTAACCGAAACCTTCTTTGATTTACCAAAAAAACGTGAGATGCTGACGTAGGCTACCGCGGGTGGGGTCGTAAAGGCTACCTCACTTGTTGAAGGCGTTCTGTACACGTAGACTGAAAAAAAATTGGCTGACTTCACTACATATGACCATGGCCTATGTAATTATGTTGTTATACTCCATTTTAATATTTATACAATGTAGGCGGTTACTATTCAACCTCAAAAGTCCAGAGAAAGGGGACTGATACTCTAATTCAGTATAAGGGTGGTAGGCTGGAGAAAAAAAAAGTTTTCTGTCATTTTACAAATTTCACATTCATTGGCATGTTTTTTTTTATCATGATTATTATATATTTTTTTTATTTTTACATGTCAGATCTAACAGATCAGATATATGGATTTCCCAAAATGCAGCGGTATTGATTACTTTTATTTTGAAAGTGATGCTTGCACTAGCTTTTGCGTCTTGACACTCGAACCCCAAAATGTACAAAATATGTTTTAAAACGCGTGGACATATTCATGTCAACATGTTAACACAAGAATTTGCGTCAGTCATTTTCTATGCTTAATAAAAAAAAAAGTCAGAAAGTACACATCCATTAAACTGTAGAGTAGATTGGACCAGACAAAATCATGGAAACATAAGACGAAAACAGGGTCTGGTATTTCCATTATTTTGCCTACTCTTTAGACATCTAGTAAGTAGAAAAGTGAGTGTAGGTACAAGGGAGGTGTTTCAAGTAAACTGGCAATTAACCGAGAGAAAGGAAGGAAAGATGTGCTGGAGCAGAGCGGAGATATCTTTATCTATTTTTTTTTAACAAAATGTCCTTTTAATTCAAGGCGTACTAAAAATAACAGTTTAGTGCCACACACTTCTAACTTTGCATTCCAGGACCCTTTCCTGAATTTGGAAATAAGTAAATCAGGTACGTGAAGGTGATACTAACCTAACTAAGTGGAGACATTAGACTGGACATAAACGTAGGCCTACATCGAAATAAAATAACGAGCAGCAGCTGTTTTAGAAGGTGTTTGTGACCAAATGGTGCTGTAGGTTACTGAGTCATTCACACAAAACTTTTCAGAGTCTGAAACCTGAAAAAAACAGGTTTTTGAGGAAGAACCGTAGCACTAGACCTTTAGCAGGCACGTTAGCTGCACATACACTCGATAAACAGGGCGGCGCAGTCCCCAAGCGCCACTCTGCGCATGCGCCTCTCTACGCTACGTCAGCCTTTTGGTCTGGTTTAGACCTACGTGGCTTTAGAAAGCATAAAGAGCTGCACCGCTAACATCGCATCAAACCTTCGTTTACGAACACAGGTGGGTACTTTAACTAATTTTCTACTTCTACAAATCGTTTATTAAGGTTTACGAAGTGTAAGTGTTTTAATATGTGATCGTATAACGTGCGTCACGTTAACTGGTTGGCTAGCATTAGCGTTAGCTCGCTTTTCGCAGTTAACGTTACACTTTCCTCGACCTAAATGTCAGCCTACATGTTCAACGTTAGCTAACCTAGTTACATAAGATAATTCAGCTTGAATATGTATGTTGAAGTGGCTTGTCTTAATTCGGTTTAGTCAATACATGGCTGAGTTGAAACATTTTGGCCATTTTACGCCAAAGAAAGCTAACCTAGATGTGTTGCTACTGAAAGATTTTCGTCGCGTACTAAAAGCCCGCAGGCCTAACGTTATAATTCGTATAAACAGTTTTCTGTTTCTGAAACACGACCTCTGAAAAGGAAATCTGAGTCCAAACAGGCAGAGGGCAAACCAGTCTAAATATCGGTACTTCTGAGTCTCGGATATTTTTATACTTCTCATAGTTTTTCTGGGCTAGTTAGTGTGGAGAGTTAATGGTCGTCGCTCAAACATAATGCTTGTCTAAGTTGTTGTAGCTAGACGAGGCTCCCTGTCAGCATGAGTTTAAGGAGATAAACCCATGTTCTCCAGTTAAAACCCAAGCAGCTCTCTAATGAGACCGTGACTAAGGAGACAGGGGGCACTATATGAGCTCTGTTGTACCCAAAAACGTATGAACGCATTTAAAACGCATTTAAAATCTGTTTTTCAGTAGCATTAGCTAGTATCAACACATACCTCAGATTTAGGTTTGGGATTGGCTCAGTCCATTTCATAGGAAATCTTTGGTGGGGGAAAAAAGGCAAATGTCCCTGAACTGGCTAGTTTAACATCAGCCATGAAACATTCCTTCAGTTTGATTTTTGATGATGTGTGTATATTTCTCCCCTCAGCCAAAGCCAACATGGATCAAGTAATGCAGTTTGTTGAGCCCGGGCGGCAGTTCGTGAAGGACTCCATCAGGCTCGTCAAAAGATGCACAAAACCAGACAGAAAAGGTCAGTAATGCACTGTTTCATTTAGCAGTTCTAATAAGAAGTGGAACTAGGCTTAATCTAGGTCTGGAAAAAGGATTGGTTTCCCAAACACAGCATTGTATTGAATCTTGCCAGCAAAGGACTTGTCTGGGAATGTCTTGATCTTTTACATTATTAGTTTTGACTAGTGAAAGGTTTCCTTATTTAATTACTTAAAATTAGTGCCTTTAGTGAACTATGATATAAAGAGCTAAATAATTAAAGAAAACATAAGAACTCTAATTGTAATTTTGCTGTAAATTAATGTTCTTTGTGCCAATAATGTGTCTCCTTTTCTGCACTTTCCACATTGCAGAATTCCAGAAGATTGCCATGGCGACGGCGATTGGATTTGCTATCATGGGTTTCATCGGATTCTTCGTCAAACTCATCCACATCCCTATCAACAACATCATTGTGTAAGTCGCCCTTTAAATAAACAACCAAACACAATTGCTGCAGTTTTCCAGTCATGTGTTAAATTTTATTCAAATTAAGCTCGAGTATAATATATGAAAGTGCATCATTAAAAATAGGTGAACATTGGCATACAGTACACCATCTTGGTCCAGAGTTTTTCTGTGCATCACATATTGAACATTTCACATTCTGTGCTGTGGCATCAGTGAAGGACTTGCTTTTCTCTTTTCAGTGGTGGTTGAATCATTTGCATCCTGAAGCTGTTTGGACCTCAGGAGCATGAAGCAGTGTTGGGTGCTGGGATGGGAGTGAATTTGTAAATTCATTGTTCTTTTTATTTGTGCAATTTTTTTTTGGCTGTGTTAATAAATCATATAAAACTGTCAACTCTCTTTTAATAAAAAAGGCTAAAGCTTGTGTTAAGGCACAATTAGCTGTATGACTGAGTCTCCTGAAGAGATGTCTTCTTTTAAAGCTTTTTAATCCCCATACTCCATAACAGAGGCCTGTCTGTGGTGATGGTCACAGGTTTTCTTCCCTGCTCGTCGCCATGGTCCTCGTAGGTGTTAGATGTACTGACAAGCTTGCCAAACTCCAGCACTGTGTTGTCTGTAAATGGGGACAATGAAAACATTTACTGAGTCTTTTTTAAAAAATTTAGACTGTTTTCAAACTGATTTCATTGTCATGTCATTTTTTGCCACTGTTCTAACTAAACAGTCCTACCAAAAATAATCCATACTGCACGGTGTAATATTTATTCTCAGTTTCTGTGTGGGGCAACTGCCCCTTGCTCCATTATTTTACAATCTTAAGTGATGTATGACAACACAACTTTATCAAAAACATTTCATTCAGAACTCTCTAATTTCTAATGCAAATTGCTAGAGAAAATATTAAGATCCAATTAAAATACTGACTGTGGACCTCCTGAATGATGGATGTCACTAAAGTAATAAACCCTTAAAGAGTGATTCTGAAGAAATAAACAACAAACACTTGATATAACTTCCCTCCTATACAAAAGGCACAAAAGGT